TGCAACTAGAGATTACCATACTAAGTGAAGTAAGCCAGAAAGAGAAAGACAAATACCATACAACATCACTTAAATATGAAATCTAAAATATGGCACAAATGAACCTATCTACGAAACAGAAACAGACTCACAGACATATAGAACAGACTTGTGATTGCCAAGCGGAAGGCAGAGGGATGGAGTGAGAGGCTGGGGTTAGCAGATGTAACCTATTACATATGAACGCATAAACAACAAAGTCCTACTGTATAGGACGGCGAACTGTATGTGGTATCCTATGATAAGTCATAACGGAAAAGAAAAAAATATCATCCCCACTAAGTGGTGAAACAAACTTTAAAATATTTTTACCAACTGTGGATGATAAATGGCATAATCTTTCCATGTGACAACCCCCACCATGGACAGGAGCCCACAGACTGAGAAAAACAACTAATTGCTCTCAAAGGAGTCCAGTTTTCCTTGGGGCCAGAAAGAACACCAGACATTTTCCTACACATTTACCTCTGCTTCCCAGATGAACAATATCACCTTCACCTTTGGGGAGGCTCCACTTCACAATGATACTACGAAGTGCTTGCTAATAACCCAGGAATCATGGGCCTATTAGATCCGCCTGGGTAATGCTCATACTTTTAAGCCATGCTTGAGGAAACTAATGGAATTTGAACTTCAGGATTCTACTGTGTCAGCCATGTGGGAGCTTTCCAGAACGTAGCAGACAGAACCGCTTGAGAGGCTGAGACTGTGCTAATGGTATGTTCACCTGGGAGCCAATTTCTGGGCTGAAATTTCCACCACCAATTTTCACATGACATTAAAGGGTCAGCTCGAAAGAATGACCTGGAACTCTGAAGGGGTGCTGAGCCTGCACTAGAAGTAGAGTACATGGGAAGCAGAGCCAGAAAAATCTGGGCTAGGGATGGGGTGGGCAGGAATCCCCAGGCGTGGGGCCAGGCTTTCCTCCCCTCTCCCAGTTCATCTCAGACTTTGAATATTTATAATAAGAAAGCCCTGAACACTCAGAATCTTTTGCCACTGGCCCTGGCCCTATATACTAGAAGCTGCAATTTTCTGGAAAGGGCGGGTTCCCCTTTTCCCCTTCAATGATCTGTTTAATCAATAAGGGCTTGGGAAACAGTCACCTCTAAGACAGGAATAGCCCATCTTCCTTACCTGCCTCTCAAGAGATGTATATAAAGTATCTTAGAAAAGGCTGCCTGGATACCCAGTGTATTATAAACATCACCATAGTCGCTAGTAAGCCTGCAGTGCAGTTTTGTTAAAACCAAAGCAAGCAGAGACCTCCAAAGAGTCAATAAAAACTGGTTTCTGGGGATGAGGCTGTAAGACCCATCTATTTGCTAAGCCTTGTACCAACAGATCATCAAAGCTGGAGCCTATTCAAGTGTTTAGCATGCTTCTTGTGGAGCTCAGAAGGAGAGCTGAGCCCTTTTCTCCTTCCAGTTTAAGGCATCCTCAAAGGATGGAGGACTGCAGGAGCAGACAGCGACAAAGGTTGGGAAGACAAAGTTTAGCACAGGATCTCCTGGCTCGTGTGAATGCCGTGAATGATTCCAAAGCTCTGCCAACACCTTGCAGGAGGTTCAGAGACATCATTCGAAACAGCCTTGAGCCTTTGGTTCAAAGGGCTGCTGGCCTCTGCACTGAGCAGGTGGTGGTCACTCATCTCTGGATCTTCATGCTCACAGAGCAGGGGCTGGATGGCAGGTACTGCTCTTGCGGGATCCTGAAGGATGTGGAAGGGATCTGTGGTCTGCTAGCCTCTCTGGCTTTGGACACCTGCCAGTGGTGTCATCCGGCAATGATGGTAATAATTGTTACATAGCTATTAGATTATTATGATTGTTATAATGCATATCACTCCCTGGACCTGAAGGAACCCTTCACAGACATCTAATTTAATCCCTTAGGGGTTGTGAGAGGTAGGAGTTGGTAGCCCATTGTACAGATAAGGAAATTGAGATTCCAGCAGGTGAATTATCTTCTTCTCGATTTAGTAAGCAATGTCTAACCAGTTGATATTCAAACTCAGGGCTGTCAAACTTCAAGTCCATGGCTGTCTCTCTATGCCTTGGCTTCCCACAGAAGCAGGGTGCAGTCAGGGCTACTGTAGGAAATAGGGGAGGCTGGCCTCAGGCACTGAGAGATCCCACAGCTTCAGAGCTGAGATGGTTGAGATAGTTTCTTGAGGGTCCCTTGTGCGCAGAGCACAGAAATCACTGTGATTATCAGGAGATTTAAGGGTGAGATGGTCTCAGGGTGAAGATGGACCCCACAGTCCAGAACCCTCAGGTTCACAGGGTGAGTGCCTCTTGGGACAGCCATGGGACTGCTGCCTCAGCACACTGGCTCCCACCTGAGGGGCTCCGTGTTTCCACACAGCCTCTCATCTGATTCTTAGAGCACCCCACCCCTACTCTGCCTCGCCTAACCTGCACATAGGTGCTCTTATCCTCTGTCCCACAGCCAGGTAGACTGGAATAAAGGGTTACAGGGCTCGCTTGGAGGAAATACCGGAGCTTGGTCTCATGATTCGCAGGCTGGTGCTCTCTTCTCCATCCCCTGAAGACTCCAGAAACAGAAAGGGCCTCAGCATGTGGGGACTGGCTGTCATGATGTCTGCTTGGCATTAGTACATGTGGAGCCTCACTGATTAAGGTCTCCTCTTTCTAGAGCCATCCCTTGGCAGGGGCATGAGAGGCATGGGTGTGGGGAGGTGGGGGGAGGTGGGAAAAATCTCAGTTGGGAGCCTCCTCTATCCCTGCATTTTCATTTGGGAGAAAATGAACATCAGTTCTTTTAGGACGGGAATAATACACAACTCTTCCCATTTTGCAGGTGAGAAAATTGAGGCATGAAAAGCTGAAGGAAATGGTACCTAGCCTTTTAGACAGAAGAAGATCACAAACGCTAGAATCCTAGGGCCAGTATCTGACACCTAGTCCTTGTAGCCTCTTACTGAACTGAGTGAAGGTAACTGGGACCCTTTGGTCCTCACCTCTGATTTGGCTCTATGTATGCTTGTGGTTTGTGGGAAGCTGCCTGGGGTGGACCAGGGGCTAAAGTCCCATGTTGAATTCAATCATATGTCACTGTATCCTTAGTGTCAAGTACATCATCTAGTTTAAAAAGATCTTATTACTTCTTTCCTCTTTTATAAAAGTCTTTTGAGCATTTACGGATACTCCTTTCAATCTAATACCAAATATTAGTAAAATTTAATATCTTATTTTTAAATGAGTAACATATGTAAGTTGCTATGTTAATAGTACCCTCAATGAATCATTTTGCCCATGAGATGACTGCACTCTGTTTGGAGATGCACCTTACCCCATTGCCTTGTTAGGTCACACTCAAGTGATGAAGGCTCTTGGCGCTTTGGTCCAGATCACTAACTGCCTTCTCACAGGTTGTGCCTGCCAGTGCAGGCAATCCCTGTGTAGCCTGTGAAGGGCTGCTGATGGAGGGCCTGGGGTACCTCTTCACCAGGTCTGGGAGTCTCATTCCCTCTTGGCTGCCTCTATGCAGGTCAGGAACTGGAGCATCAGTGTTCGAGGCCCTGAGTCCTGGGCTTTCTTTTTGCTTCCCAAGCCTCTAATGAACTCCCCTTTCCCTAGTCTGAACTCTGTCTCCCACCCAGCCCGCTGTCAAACAGGAGCAGATGTTTTTGGCCCACAATTAAACCTTCTTTCAGCAGCTGGTGGCATCGAGCTCTGGACACCAAGCTGGGCATTTCTCCCATACAAATATTGCTGTTACCAGATACGGAGCACTACTGACAGCTCAGAGGTGGCTCCCTTAGCGGCCCCCGCCCCAGGCATTCTGTCCTAGCCCCTTCACTATGCCCTGGGCCAGCTGGGTGTTTGGGAAGAGGGTAAGAGCCTGCTGCCACTGCAGCTCTTCTCTCCTCTCTGTGACATGGCTGCCCTTCACAGGTGGTTGCTCCTCCTGTACCCTCATTCTGTCCTTGGTGGTGGGGGTTCCTTTCCAATCCTGCACACCCTCTCAGATAGCATCTACTTGTACTTTTCCCCAAACATCATCGGGCTCTCTAAGGCTCAGTTGAAGGATTGCTCCCCTCTCTGACCCTCCTTCCAATCATATTCCCTTAAGTGATTTCCCATGGAAAAATTCCCAATATCATTTGCCTGTTTATAGAATTGTACAGCCTTTACAACAAGCATCGTGGAACATGTACATCCTAATGCATTCATTTCTTGCCTCCTATTCTCACTTCCTTGGTGGCTCAGATGGTAAAGAATCCACCTGCAATCTGGGAGACCCAAGTTCTGCAATCTGGGAGACCCAAGTTCTATCCCTGGATTGGGAAGATCCCCTGGAGAAGGGAATGGCAACCCACTCAAGTATTCTTGCCTGGAGAATTTCATGGACAGAGGAGACTTGTGGGCTACAGTCCATAGGGTCGCAAAGAGTTGGACACGACAGAGTGACTAACACACACACATATTGGAGAATGGTGGAGGAGGGATATCTGGGGGCACAGTCACTAAATTCATGACTACCTGTCCAGGGAGATTCCTAAGAACCTTCCCAGGTTGCTGGTGGGACTGCTAGTTAGACACGGTATCTTCAAACTGGACCCAGGGCTAAAGCCTCACATGCAGGATTCCAAAAGGAGGTGACACAGGCTGGGTATTCAGATTGGCCCAATCCTGGGGACCACTGTGTGGATATAACTGAAGTCTTTTAACAGAGGTGTCTAAGAGAGTGATTAAAAGGAAATTGCAATTATCGAGCCCAGAGGTAACATTTCAGAACTGGCCCATAAATCCTGATTTGACATGAAATTTAAAACTCCCCGATGGTCTCCAATGCCATATTAAAAGGGCTTTAATACTAAGAAGTAGAAATAATGAATGATAATCAGGTGTTGTTTCTGGGAATAGGGGCAGCTCTGAGGGCTAGCCTGGCAGAGAACCACGGGTTTGCATTTGGTTGTGTTTTATACCCCTCACTTCACAAGGGAGCAGTGTGGGAAGGAGGGCAGGCTTGGCGGAGGGGCGTTGAGTGACAGCCCGGCAGAGCCACTCGCCAGTGCACTGCAGCTCCAGCTCTGCTGAGAGCCAGGGCCCTTGTCTGCTATGCAGCTGTTCTGCGCCAGCCGGGAGCAGCTGCTGAATGAGGGCTGGGGCCGGGAGCTGACCTGGACAAGCAGCATGGCTCCGAGGAAGAGCACTAACTAGCTTGAGTCCAGGGATCCTGGCTTGAGATCTAGCTTTTGCACTGGCTGGGTGGTCGGCCAAGTCACCCCACCTTTCTGCTCAAGGTTCCTTTATTTCACTGACTTCCTCACAGAATAGCCGAAGGACTACATGGTGGAATGAATAGGAGAGAGCTTTGAAAATATATGTTATGATTGATTTCTATTGTTTTGATATTTGCTACTCGCCTCGACATGGTCAATCCCTGGATACTAGGATGCACTGGTTTGGCTGACGCAGACAATGCTGGTCAACCCTCTCTGGGCTTTGGTTCTACACTCACTGCGGCCCCTTAGGGTGTTGTCTTCTCAGGCAGCTGCAGGAGACCGTAGCTGATGTCAACTTTAATCAATCGGAATCTCTCTCCACTCCTACCCCTCTCTAATGCCCTTCCCGAAAACTGTTTCCAAGCCAGACGACTCAAAGCAGCAGACTGTTTTGAATCTAAGTGCAGGACCATCATGTTTCCTGCAGCAACTGATTTGGTTTCCAAAATTTAGAATCTGTAGTACTAGTCCTCCAACCAAGCTTGGTGTCATCAGTAGGCCAGCCCCCACCCCTACCCCCAACCCCACCCCCACCCCATCCATGAAATGAGGTAAAGATCATGTAGCTTCTAGAATGTCACAGGTCTGAACAAATGTTGATTCCTTCTCTGTCACCATTTCAGTCATGCATTAAAACCATGGTAGAGTCAGAGGTCAAGGCAAAGCCCTTTCTCAGTTCTCTTAGAGACACCTTTCAGATGGACAGGGCTCACTCACTATGCCTCTTTGGATATAAGTGTTCAATTTGTTACAGACTCATCAACCAGACTATTAAGGGAAACCCTGTCAAGTGGGGTGCTTAAATCAAGATACTCTGTCACATCCCCTTATCCTCCTAATCTCACACCCCTTCTGAAGAAGGTGTTTTCTAGGACTTGCTTTACATGAGGCTGTGTTGACTCTTAGAATCACCACCTTCTTTTCTAAACATTCCAAACCACTTCAGCAATTTATTTAGAATTTAACTGACATTAATATTTTCAAATTCAAAAAATTTTCTGATTGACCCCATGTAAATAGAATGCTAAAAATATAGTATTGAGACCCTTGCATTTAAACCTAAAAATAAAATTATCTTTGAAAGGAAATCTAGTCAGATTAGCCTAGTTTCATCTCAGATAGAGAGCATGTAACTATTTACTCCAATGGGACACTTTGTAATTTATACTATACTGTACTTAGTCGCTCAGTCTTGTCTGACTCTGAGACTCTCATGGACTGTAGCCCACCAGGCTCCTCTGTCCTTGGGGATTCTCCAGGCAAGAATACTGGAGTAGGTTGCCATGCCCTCCTGCAGGGGATCTTCCCAACCCAGGGATGGAACCCAGGTCTCCCTCATTGCAGGCGGATTCTTTATCATCTGAACCACCAGGGAAGCCCAGTTTTTACTGAGTAGATAAAAAAATCTGACTTTGAAAAACAACTAACATGGTCACCCAACGTATGGAGATCCTATTACATACATAAACTTGTAGCAAGTGTTCTAGCAGTAGGGCAAAGGGGGAATAACACAGGAATCCTACCCTCAGGGAAGTTTTCAGTTGAAGGCTAAAGAAGCAGCGTGGAACAAGAGATAGATAAGCCCAAGGCACGTACAATCAATTTCACCGAATTCAGTAAACACTTACTGAGCATATTACGTACCGGGCATGTGTAGGCACTGGATAGAGATGAGACATAAGTTCTGCCCTAAAGGGATTTATATTCCAGAATTCACACATCGAGACTGCTTAAGAAAATTCAAAGTTAGGGAGAGACTAGCTCAGCATGGGACAAGATTAAGAGGTTTGAAGGAAATAGAGGCAGGGGATAGGCACTCCAAGTGGGCATCATGACACAAGGAAAGACAGCACAGAGGTCCTTCAGTTTCCACCACCTGACTGCTCCCGCTCAAAGTGCAAATCCTGAGACCGAGACCATGGTAAAGCGTTGAGAGAAAAGTGTAATTCAAGTTGAACAAGAAATAGATAATGTGACAGGTCAGGGGAATCCATTTCAAAATAAGACTTGCTTTTTGACAGCGTCCCTTTAATGATGGGTCTCTGGGGATCTTTCCTCATTCAGCATCTGCCACCCTACACAATAATTAGCCAGCGACGCATTTTCTTTGTTGTTCATTAAAGATTAATGAGAGGCAGAGCTTCAGCCCTGGTTAGATGGAGAAACCCTGAAGGGTTCATTTGAACCTTTCATATCTGTTCATTTTGGAGGTTCTGATGAACAGGTTTTCAATACAACGATGCCGTCTGCCTTCTAACCTACAATATGACTTTGGTAGAAACTCAGACGTTTCTGGCAGGCTGTCTCCCACCATCAGCTTAAAAGCACATGCATGAAAGAAGGCAGAACAGATGTTTGGAGCTCTGCAGTGGGTTGAGCATTTTTCATGCCGGGGTGACGGGTGCTTTCAGCATGGTGTGTCTCCTCACTCTGTGCCTGGTTCCTAAGGTATGGTCAGGTAGAAATGCCAGGCAGCAAGGTGCCACTGTGCAAACACAGCAAGCTCTGGCCAATTTGGAGGCAAGTCCTCCTTTACCTATTTATTTTGTTCTAACTGTTAGATTTTAGCTAGTTCTCCTCCTCCAGTCAAGCCACATGGGGAGAGACTGAGAGATGACAAAGGGAAGTTTATTTAACAAAAAGGATAAAAGAATACTAATAGAAGTTTAAATACTTCTAGTTAAAAGTAGACAGCTGAAAATAATGGAGACAAGAATGATAAAAAGGAGTATGGAATAATTAATACCTTTCTGAAATTTATAAGGCTCTGGCCCTTTAAGATTAGCACACATGAATAGATTCAGGCTTTTTTAAATCTTGCTACTCAGAATGATGCCTGGTTTGGTCCACTTTCTGCTCTTTTGTGGCTTTCATTTCTGAATTTGGCACCGTTTAGCATCTTGTTCAATGCCGTGTACCCAGAGGAGCTCAGAATCCATTAATAGATGATGTTGATGATGCCAATAATCAGAGCTGAGAGCTGTGATTGTATTATAAGCAAAGCATTTGAATAACTGCAGAGCCAACAAGGCACAGGGTGACATTTCTCCATCCCTATCACTGATGAGCATGACCTTGGGACAAGTTATCCCCTACTCTCCCCAGGGACGCAATTCAGGGAAAGCCAGGGCACCTTCTACAGAAAAGGTCAAGGGAATAAACACATTATTCCACCAAATTGGCCTGTGTCTTCCCAGGTTTCTCTGGGAACCCCGATGTCCTGCAGCCCCTCTCCCACACCTCTTCATTCTCCATTGCTTTGTCCAGAACCCCTTTGCACTGAGACTCCTTAGGATTTGAGGTGGAATGAAGAATCTAAGGCTTTGAGCTGAACTGTTCCCAGCCAATTCTCAAGACTGCCTTCAGTAAGCATGAGGTCTCTGCTAGGCTCAGGGACCTCAGTCTAACAGATGACTAACAACTCTGAAGCCAAGTCCACCCATGACTGATGGTTTTTCTATTCATTTGCAGAGTCTGCACGGAGCTGAGAGGACTGCCCAATTTACAGACCTTCTATATTATGAAATTAAAATAGAATTTTCAGGAAAGAATTGGCCTGAATATTGATGGGGAGGCAGAACTTCCTGCCCCCGCCATTCAAGACACACTTTGATCTTGTCTGTGTGTCCGCTGTCCCCATCAGCAGCACATCCGATCCTGTGTGTGGACTCCATGTCCACCTTTGCTCTGTGTTCAATCCTGGGCAGGAAGAACTGCCCCTTGAGTCTCCAGCCAACACTTCTAACTGCCTGGAATTCATAACTTCCTGATCTGAGGCAGTTCTTTATCCTCTTAGCAGACCATATGTTTTACCCAGACTCAACCATTAATGTCTTTCCCTGATGACTCAGATGGTAAAGAATCTGCCTCCAGTGCAGAAGACTCAGGTTCGATCCCTGGGTCAGGAAGATCCCCTGGAGAAGGAAATGGCAACCCACTCCAGTATTCTTGCCTGGGAAAGCCCATGGACAGAGAAGCCTGGGGGGCTACAGTCCATGGGGTTGCAAAAGAGTTGAACATGACTTAGCAACTAAACAACAACAAATCTAATCTTTATATGTACTAATGACCCTGAGTAAGGTCATTTCATTGCTCCCAGACTAGTTCTTCACATTAAAAAAAAAATAGGATGAGTAGATGAGATAATTTTTAGTTCCAGGAATTTCAGTCTGAGAAGACAAGCATTTGGGAGACAGGCAGACCTTTCTGAGATTGCTGCTCCAGCTGACTGCTTCAAAGTCACCAATTTTGAGCATGAGAATACTCATTTAGAAAACTGAATAAAAAAAAAGCAGGACTTGCTGATATCTTCTCTGGAATGGAATCACCCTGGGAGAAGGACATATACAAACATCCATATCAAGAAGCTGATTTATTCCTGTGGCTTCTACATCTCAACCCATATTCTCTAAAGGAAAAGAAAGCCAGGGACTCATTCAGTTGTCGCTTGCATTCTAGAGACAATGGAAAGTCCTGCTTTCTTTTGTGGAGATGCCATTCATGAGTGAACAGTGATGTAAGTGAAGAAGAGGCACAGACAGGTGGACCTGATAATATGCAACACAAGGAGGAAAGTCCATTTATTTTTGTGTCTTCTAAAATGCCACTTGTCCTTTCTCCGGCCTGTTCTCAATACATACTTCACTATTAGTCTCAAGTAAGGTAAGAGGATAGGTCACCGTTCAATTCACTTATCTGGCCAGAATAAGGGTGTTCTCTCAGATTGTCTTTGACTTTTCCTTTATCTGCTTTCTGCAGAGAGCTTGCCCACTCACGGGGTCAGTGCTGCTTTCAGGGGGATGGCTTTCAGATCTTCAGCTCCAGCTCTGGTTTGATGGCTGGTGTGGGTCACCAGCACTGCATTTCCTGCTGCTTTGAACCATTTCTTCCTGCTGTCCTCCACCACATGG